CCTAGTCTTATGAGTCATTGCTCTGTACTCAGCCTTGGCACTAGATCGTTCTACCACTGTTTGTTTTTTACTTTTCAATGAAACAATATTATCTCCCAAGAAGGTGCAATAACCAGTAGTTGACCGTCAATCAGATAGAGAACCAGCCCAATCAGCATTTGAAAAACCTTCCACTCGAAGATGTCTATTAGCTCGATATAACAATCTCAGATCCGGAGCACTTTTGAGATATCGAAGAATAGGAATGACTGCATCCCAATGTGGTACTTTAGGACATCCCATAAATTGACTTGTCGTACTGACTGCATATGCAATATCTGGTTGGGTAATAGTGAGATAATTAAGCTTTACAACCAACCTGCGATACTGACCTTGGTTATCAAATAGAGCATCATCATCCATCAACAACTTTTGATTTGGTTCCATAGGACTGTCAACCGGTCTACTACCTAATAAACCGACCTCTTCTAGAATGTCAAGTATATATTTCCTTTGAGAGAGATAGATACCTAGCTTAGATTTGGCAACATCAATACCCGAGAAGTAACTGAGTTTTTCTAAATCCTTCGTATGAAATTTGTTTTGTAGTAATATTTTTAACTTAGTAATGCCCTCAGAATCATTACTAGTGATTACGATATCATCTACATAAACCACCAATAAAGTATACCCTGCATGTGTCTGCCAGTGAAAAATAGAATAATCTATCTGACATCGAAGAAGGCTAAACTCTAATACTGCATCAGAGAATTTGCCAAACCATGCTCTTGGTAACTGCTTCAAATCATACAGAGATTTCTTCAGTCGACACACACTCCTACAATACTCCTTCTGAGCAGTAAACTTAGGTGGCTGCTCCATGTAGACTTCCTTAGCCAAGTTATCATGCAAGAATGCATTTTTGACATCTAACTGAAACAGAGGTCAATCAAAGTTAGTAGCCAAAGAAATTAAAACCCGCACAAAAGTGATCTTGGCAACGGGAGAAAATGTCTTTGCATAATCAACCCCATATGTTTGAGTGAAAGCCTTAGCAACAAGTCGAGCTTTGAGACGCTCAACAGAACCATCTAGATTAAATTTAATAGTATACACCCATCAACAACCAACCGTCCGTTTTTCCGGTGGCAAGGGAACAAGATCTCAAGTCCCATTCTGATGTAAGACATCAATTTTAACTTCCATAGCTTTTATCCAACCCGGATCAGACAAGAAACTCTGTAGAGTCTTAGGAATAGTGACAGTAGAGAGTTGTGTGGTAAAGTAGGAAAAAACAGGTGATAATGCATCATAGGACACAAAATTACCAATGGGATGTTTAGTAACACATGATCGAGTACCTTTCCTAAGAGTAATCAGTAAAGAATCGGAATTACCTGAGGTATTCGGATTAGGAGACGACAAGGAGGGTGGCAAGGGCACTTCAGCTGATGACTGCGCACGACGGGAATATACACAGAGTGGAGTAGGGGACGGATACACAATAGAGAGTGGAGTAGGTGACGGTATAGGAAGAGGTGGCTCAGGAAACTGTCCAAAATCAAGATCTAAAGGATGCTCAAGAGCCGAGAAATATGGAATGTCCTCATTAAAGGTGACATTAGCACTAATGAAGTACCGACGAAGAGTGGGACTATAACATCGATACTCCTTTTGTGTATGAGAGTATCTAAGGAAGACACTTGGTAACACAAGGGTCAAGTTTATCAAACCCAGGCCCCAAGTTATGAACATAACAGACACACCCAAACACTTTAGAAGGTAAGGAGAATAAGGAGGTATGAGGTATAAGAACAGAGTATAGACTTTGCCCATTTAATACATACGATGACATACGGTTAATGAGGCGACAGGCTGTAAGCACAACATCACTCCAAAAAGCACGAGGTACATGCATTTAAAATAATAGTGTATGGGTAACTTCCAACAGATGTCGATTCTTACGCTTAGCAACCCCATTCTGCTGAGAAGTATAGGCACAAGAGGTTTGATGAATAATGTCAGCCTTATGAAGATAAGAGGATAAAGAATCAGATTCATATTCTCTAGCATTATCAGAGCAGAGAATACGAATGTTACAACCATATTGTGTAAGAAAATTTACAAAATAAGAAAATTTATTAGATGAAACATTCTTTATTGGGCTCCATCCATCAGAATGAATTAAAACAAATGGACTTGAGACACGATTATTGACTCTAGACTCAAAGGAAACACGATGATACTTACTAAGTTGACAAGTTTCACAAAACACAAACGATACATGACTTAGACTAGGAATTTGACGCTTCAGATTCTGGAGCGAAGGATGACCAAGCCAACAGTGCCACTGAAAGGGAGATGATGAGGTCTGAAACGCTCGAGGAGATTTATCAAAATCAAAATAATAAAGAACATTAGCTTCATGTCCCATACCAATTTTTCACTTCGTCTGGAGATCCTGAAACACACAGTAGGAAGAAAAAAAGGTTACTGTACAATTAAGAGAACGAATAATCTTGCCAATAGAAAGTAAGCTAAAGGGAAACTGGGGAACAAATAACACTGATGACACCGACATAACAGTACTCAATTGAGTAGTCCCTACACCTGAAACTTTAGAGGAAGTGTTATTAGCAAGAGTAACACTATGTTGAGAATTGACAGATTGATGAGTAGAAAATACACTAGACGAACCGGTCATATGGTCAGAGGCGCCAGAGTCTATGATTCAGGGATTGCGAGTAGAGGACAATAAACAAGTGGGAGTTGTACTTGACTGGACAAATGTGGCAGTGGAGGATGATGGAACAACCTGCTGTTGGGACATAAGCTGAGCATACTCCTCGCATGTAAGTGTAACCGACTCAAAGTCAGGTAGAGCTAGACATGAAGTATCATCCTGATAAGAGGCATGATTAGCAACACCTGAAGGCTTGCCATGTAAATCCCAACAATAATCAACGGTGTGTCCTCCACGACCATAATGAGTGCACAAGCGAGGACCAGATCGACCACCACGACCTCCGGTTCGACCTCCAGGACGGCCTCCACGACCACCACGGTTGCCATGACCACCTCGAGAACTATCATTATGGCTAGTAGGAACAACAAGTGTTGAGCAGTCATGAGATAAACTACGGTCAACACCAGAGGTCTTGATAGACAATATAACACACTGTAAACGAGAGAAAACCTCAAGCAAAGATGGTAGACTAGAACTGCCCAAAATCTGAGAACGAACAGTCTCATACTCAAGTCTCAAACCCATCAAAAAACGAACAACATTCATATCTTCATGCTATTTCTGCCACACTACAACATCAGTGGTAAATGGGTGGTAAAGTTTCAGTTCCTCACAGACTCCTGTGACGTGGGAATAATAATCTGCAATTCTCAGATTGTCTTGTTCTAAACGAAAGTATTGTTGACAAACCTCACAAGCACGAGTAAAATTACTTGTGCTCAAATACATAATAACCAAGTGGTCCCAAATTTCTTTGGTCGTGTCCAGATAAAGTAAAGTGAAGCTAATATTAGCCTTAATACTATTCAATAATAAAGAAATAATCTGAGCTTCTGCCTATTCCCACTCATCATAACCAGGCGTACCTTCTTTGGGTTTAAAATCTACTAAATATTTCTTGAGACCTTTCCCTTTCATAAATACTTGGACTGATTGTGACCATAAAATATAATTTGTCTCATTAAGCTTGACTGACGTCATAGGACTATTAAATAGAGCAGCAGAAGACAAACCAGGTGGCACAACAGGAGAAGCAACAACGGATAAGTCATTGTTCTTGGATTCCTTAGCCATAGGACGACTGAACAATGTTAAATAGTGCAAAAAGGAGACTGCTCAGTGGTGAACAATAATAATCCAAAGTTGAACAGAATAAGGAAGCTTGTTGGATCACTAAACCGGTCGAAAGGCACACTGGACCACTGAACCGGGCAGGCAGGGTTCATTGGACCAATAAACCGGAAGAAAAACTAGAAGAACTGGTGTAAACCGAAGGAAAAAACGGACCGAATCGGGATTGAACTGTGACTAAATCGGGTATGAATCTAGGTTTGGGTCTGGGTCTGAATTGGATCTGGATTTGATTAAAAAACCCATGAACTTGAGCCTATTACCCAAACCCGCAACCGACCAGTGAGGATCCTTTTCTCCAAGAACTAGGGTTTCAATCAAACCCTATTTGTCGGCAACACTCACACCAAACGACACCACTGAGAGATCCCAGCGGCCACACCACCACAGAAGCCACACCAATCGACGGCGCCTCACATCCCAAGCAGCGACGCCACTACCACAGTGATGAGGAACATCCACAACGATACCACATCACCACCACCATGAACAACACCAAGAGCAACCCTACTAGCGACGCCAAGCAAAGAACAATGGAACCTTGATTTCACGCCGAAGCTTCACTAGAGGGAATGCACAGAGTCAGTGCAAACCCATTCAACACCCGGACTCGGTGAAGACGCAAACCAGAAGAAAAGAATGGAAGAGAAAAGAAAAGAGAAGAAAGAAAAGAAAGAGAAAAGTAAAGAAAAAAAAAGATGATTAAGAAGATTAATAAGAGTCTTGCTCTGATACCATGTTAAGATTATGGAAGAGCTTAACACAATATGAGAAAGACAAAGAGAGATTTTGGCTTAACCTACCTCTCACTATTGGTCTTGTATTTATAGTCACTGAACAAAATAAAAATTACGAGTATACCCTTTGTATGGTATACATATTACAATAAACATAAACCCTAATTACATTATAGTAACTTTCCTAATCGTATTATTGTAACTTTCTCAACACTATTTATCAGTTTTACAGTCTGCTAAGGATTTGTGTACAAACTTTTTTTTCAGGCACATGAACGGTTGAAGCAGAAAAACATTGAAAAAGAAGGTAGGTTGTTGAGTTACCTGTTTCATTCAGACTGTTTGTACTTCTGCTGATTGTTGCGCTTCATTTTGTGCATAAAGCAGCAGGAGATCTTGCAGCTAACATGATTCCAAATGGTCATCTTGAAAGTAAAGTGAAAGCTGGGGAGCATTTAGAAAAGTCACATGAGACTATTGACTTAAGGACGTCACAGGCATTGGCAGATTTCAATGATATTAGCCAACAAGTTGGGGATCCATTGCAAGGGAGCTTGAGCACCACTGCTTTAGTTGCATCATTGTTTAGGGAATCTGTGCTGAAATTTGGTTCCTCTTTGAAATGTCAAATCCATGTTCCATTATTCTTAGTCATCGCCCTTGCTGTCATTCTCCTCCTGATGCAGGTACATACTTTTTTTAACTTGGCTTTGTTTTTTCATATTCCGAGTCTGTTATGACAGTACAAATTTTCTTCCCATAAATATGTTTGCCACTTTCATGCGCTGATGGCCATATGAGGTTCTGAATTATGATTTACAATGTCCTTTGTCTTGCTGATTAATTCGGTGACTTTCTGGATAGGATTGTTTTACAAATTTTTTTAATTGGATCTAAGGTATATTGTGGTAAAAGTGACATTTGTTTTTATGAAGCAATCTGGCAGTATGTGGTTAACTATTATATTATTGCCTTGTGTATATGTTTCTTTTGTAGACTTTCTTCATTAATCTTGCTGAATAATCATTTCATGTGGGATATTAGGTTGCTTAAGCTTGGTTCATATGGTAAAGGGGCCTCTCCACTTATTTTCAATTGGTTTGAGGTTGGATGCATCTAATATGATATGGGTGGCTAGTGTATAGAGTTTCTTAACCCACTACCTTATGTCTCACGTCGAATGATCACCTAAGATTGGTTTCTATAATGACGGACCCTCCACTTATTGCCAATTGGCTTTGGGGTGCCTCTATGAGTGGATAAATTAACAAGTACATTTTTTAGGTAAGGTGGTGAGTGATACAGTACTTACTAGAATAGTATTGTATCTCAACCATTATCTCAAATTTCACTTGTAAGTTTGAACTTTGATTTGTTCACTAAGAATGATTCGAACTCAGCATACATGGTCTTTTTGTTAGAAATATATTTCTATTTGGACTGCTAATTGCTCTAACTTCAAATGTTTTCTATTGCTTGAATGATTTCAAATGATTTTCTATATTAAGTAAAAGTAGTCATGTGATGTTAAGCAACCCATGTGTCAGCAATCTGCTACTCAGATACACCTTTGGGATTTCCAGTTTTGTCTTCTCCATACCCTGACAGAAGTGGTAAAGACCATCTCGTTTTCCCCTCAATATGCCCTTCCAGAAATTTTGTGTGGCATCTAACTTAACACTAAGACACTATGAGGGGAGAAGACCTGCAAGTCTCATATATTTGGGAGATAATATTTCAATGAATTAGGACAAGTTCTAATATTTCCCTGCATAATGAACCCTGTTTGGATGGTGAGAGAGATAGAAGATTTGGTGGAATAGATTAAAGATATATGACAAGGTGCACTTTGGCATGAATAAATGAGGAATCTATTATGTAATCACTGAGAATAAAATTGACTCGTCCAAAACCTCTTGAAACCCAGTTTTGATACGAATACATCCTGCTCAAAACCCATTAGAATGAGTAGAAAAGTTCAGTAGGCTCATATGTTAGTTTGAGAGGTAGTAGTTCTCAAACTTTGAAGGTCTAATTTTTTGTTCAAGACGAACCAATTTTTTTTTTGGCTATGAGACTTTATTTTACCCTGTAATAATATGTTTGTAATCAGGGCGCTGTTGAGAGGAAGATCCTTGCCCCCCTCTATTTTTTATAGGACTTAAACCTTTCTTCAATGTTGGTGGCAAGAAGTTAGGTATAGATCAAAGAAATAAAACATGGGAAAAGGAAACAAGCTTGCTTTCCCTTTTGGACATTTTGACAGATGGGGATGAAGAAAGTGGACAAACAATTAAATAAATGGGTTCCTTTTTCATTTTGTGTGTCATCAAACAAATAAAGGGCAAAAATCAAACTGAAAACCCTACCACTAGACAGAGAAGAAGGGTGAAACAAAGAATGGCCCCCTCTATTTTTCGTAGGACTTGAACCTTTCTTCAACGTAGGTGACAAGATGTTATGTAAAGATGGAGGAGACAAAACACGGGAAAAGGAAGCAAGCTTGCCTTCTTTTTGGACCATTTTGACAGATGGGGATAGTGAAAGAGGACAAACAGACTTGCATTTCTCATCAAACAAATAAAGGAAAAAAATCATACTGACAAGGAGTTTAATCCTACCCCTAGACAGTAGAATAGTGAAACACATGGTTCAGGTAATCGACCCCATGTACTTGTGATAAGGTTTCATTGAGTTTAGTTATAAATGTACAAAGTTATGGTAAAGTGCTATTGCGGCTTTCTAAAGTTCTGTGGAGCCTTGCAGATTGTAGAAGTGATTTGCCACATGCAAATTGTTACTTTTTCACCCGCTCATTCAATGTGCTACATCATGTCTTATAAATTATCTTTTCCACTTGCCTGTTTCATATCGCATCATTTTTTCTTGTTCTAACTAAACCATTGGTGACAATTTCCTGTGGTTTCTGTTTCTTCAGATTAGCATTCTGGTATTATTAAGTAGATACCAGCCGGTACATGTGTTTCCACAAGCAGACTGCATCAGTGGCACGTGCAGCAGAGTAGGGGGAAGAGGGGCCGAGACAATGGCTTTTATGGAGAGGCAGTTTAACCATCTTAAAGACGAGATGCTCATTGTCGAGAGACTGCTTGAAAAGACGCAGCATAATTATGCCCTATTGAAACTGCAACTCGAAGACCTAGAGCTTCTTAGAAAGCAGCAGAGATAACAAACCAGCTGTATGTATAAACATCTTCATTTTTACTGCATATTTTTTTAACTCGTCAATTTGTGTTTGTATATTCAATTGTATGTCTGAAGAATGTATAGGTTGACAAAGCAGAGAATAATTTACAACTGATTATCACTAAACACGAGTACGATAACATGTGAATTGACTGTAAGTGTAACTTTTGATAGAGCCCAACAGGAAGTGTGACACATGATTAAAAATATAAAAAGGGCGATGAATCGACTGTAAGGGACTGTCAGGCTCGACGATGTTGACCCACCTTCTCTTGTATACACTATCCCTAAATCTTTTTATTGTAGTATATGCTGCTTATTGCTACGTTAATGAAATTGCTATCTTGAGCTCCCTTTGTGCCTCTGCCACTTTTTACACTCCAAATGGAAGAGAAACTACCTATCTGATCAGAACTCATCTAATTAAACATCAATGGGTTAACTTTTAGGGTGGTCTAAGTATATTCTCAAGAAATCTCAGATTTAATATTTTTCACACATTTTAAAGGTTAGTCATCTTTGTTCTTCAGGAGACGTGTGCTTAAACTACCTTGAGCTATGGGGTCGGTCTTAGAGTTCGAGAGAGTAATCGGCGTAAGTAAGTCAGAATACCCTGTAACAAAAAAAAAAACTTCAAAGGGTTGTCAAAGAGATCCAAGAATAAGATTTTTGGTCTTCTAGGGATTTGTACAGGAATATCACTCGACAACCTTTATATGATGGGAATTTGTTCTTGTCGTTAAAATCCTTTGCTTTTAATTATGTTGGTAGATTTAGTGGAGACATTAATTTAAGTATTGGAGTGGTCCTGTTGATTGGTAATTTTTTTGACTAATTTTGCTGTCTTGTTGGTCAAGGACAGATACAAATCCGAGCTCCTCCGTGGAATTATTATTTTTGGATTAATAACTTAGGGATCGTTTAATAACGTTTTTGTTTTGGTGTTTTCAAAAAATTATAAAACAGAAACATTTTTTGTCTTGTTTTGTTTTGTGATAAGCACTAAAAATAGAAACACATGTTTAAAAATTATTTGTGTTTATCAAATTATGAAAATAAAAATAAAAAACATGTTTTATAACCACTTCAAATTATATCCTTAAGTCTCTTGTTTTTTCTTTAAACCATGTTATTGAGACTTAACGAATTGAATTAATTTGATAAATTAATGATATGGTCAACACTGATAAATTAATGATAAATTGAATTAATTTGATTAAAAAATATTGTCAAAGTGTTTAAAATACTCTTTATAATATATGATATAATATCCAAATAAATAGGGAATCGGACTCAAATAAAAAAAAATATGTAAGAAAAATATAAATAATTTTCAACCTCGAAACAAAATTTTACTTGAGGAAAAAAATCTTGACATATTTGATTGAAATGTATTAGTTTGTTAGCATATTTTATTAGTTTTATAGTAAAAAATAAATCAAAAAATTTTGATTTTAAAACATGGGTTTTGTTTGGGGTGTGGGTGGGGGATTGTTTTACCTATGCTTAGTTTGGTATGATGAAAAAATAAATAGATGAAAAATTAAAAGGATGAAAAATTGGAGAGATAGATAAAATATTATCTTTGATAATGAAGGATAAAAAAGTGGATGAATGAACTTTCCTTCTAACTCACTAAATTAATCCCTCCAAAATTGGAAGGAAAGTGGATGGACAATTAATTATTTATGCTGAAATGTATCTTATTTATCTATTAGTTATTGCCTTTGCATGAAGGCACAAAGTAATAAAAAAATAGTCAATAATAAACATATTTGTATTCATATTTAAAATCAAATCACAAATATGGAGGAGATATAAATGAATTTAAGCATCAATTGTAGTAGGGGTAAGAGGTGGTGGGCGACAATGGTGGTGGTAGGAGACGATGATGGTTATGGTGGGTGTCAATAAGCGTGGTGGTGGTGATAGCCATGGGTGGCAACAGTGATGGTAGTAATGGCAAACATGGGTGAAGACGGTGGTGATGGTGGGCGTTAATGACAGTTGTTGCCAATCGTGGTGGTGGGACGACGATGGATGCTTCTGAGCAATAGTATGATGGATGGTGGTGAACGACGGTTGTAGTAGGTAGGGGTGGGTGATAATGGGTGACGACAGTGGTGGACGGTGCCAGTGAAAGGTGGTGGTGGTAGGTGTGGTGGGGGTGGGTGATAATGGTTGTTGACTGTGGGTGATGGTGGGCAATAATATGATGGTGGTGAGTGGCGACGATAGTTGTGAGATGATGGTGGTGGCGGCATTGACGGTGGGGGGTGATAGTTATTGTGGTAGAGGTGGAGGTGGTGGTGGGGTGGCAACGGAGATGGTAGTGGTGATGACAGTGGGCGTTGTGGTGGTGGGGCGATGGAGGTGGAGGTGAGACGGTTTCAAATACTAATTTTTTTTGTTTGAAGTAGTTATAAAAAGTTATAAGTCATTGAAACACTTTTAAAAAGTCACCCCAAACACACTTTTAAGGGTCTATTTTTTCTATTAAATTTAAAGTGTTAATATTAGCCGTCGGATTAATTTTAAAGTAAAATTTAAAAAAATCTCAACCGCTTAAAGCAAAAGTCATTTTGTTTATTTTTTGAGATTTGAATTGTATTGTACTTTATTATGTAGACTAATTATTGCTTGTGCCTGAAGATGTAGAGTAATAAAAAATAGTAAATAATAAACATATTTGTATTGATATCTAAAATTAAATTACAAACATAGAGGAGAAATAAATGAATTTAAACATCGATTATAACGAGGGTAAGAGGTGATGGGCGGCAATGGTGGTGGTAGGAGACGGTGTTGATTGTGGTGGGTAGCAATGATTATAGTGGTGGCGACGACGACAATGGTGGTAAGGGTGGAGACGACGGCGGTGGTGGGGTGGAGGTGACGACGGCAGTGGTAGTAGTGTGGCGGTTTCAAACACTATTTTTTTTAAAGTACTTATGAAAAATAATTGTTATAAGTATTTTTAAAAAGTTACTCCAAAAACATTATTAGGGGCTTATTTTTCCTATTAAATTTAGGGTGTTAATATTAATTGTTTGATTAACTTTAAAATAAAATTTAAAGAGATCTAAACCGTGAAAAGTAAAAGTCATATTGTTTATCTTTTAAAATTTGAATTGTAAACTACTTTATTATATATATACTAGTTATTACTTGTGCCTGAAGGCATAAATAATGAAAAAATTATCAATAATAAACATATTTGTATTTATACTAAAAATCAAATTATAAATATAAAGTAGAGAGAAAAAAATTTAAATCTCAGTTGTAAGAGGGGTGAGCAATGGTAGTGGTGGTAGACGGTAGTGTTGGTAGTGGTAGAAGACGGTGATGGTTATAGTGGGTGGCGATGATTGTGGTGATGATGGCAGCTGCGGATAGCAACGGTGATGGTGGTGGTTGGCAGGGGCGGAGCCAGAAATTATGTTTAGGGTGGACACTTTACTAAAAAATTTAATTTTTTTTTTCTTTTAATCAATAAAAATAAAATAATATATTTAAATTTACTATATTGTATTTGATACTTAAAATTCATCAAATACGAATGGGTGAAACTTTAATAAATATAACATACATAAATAAAAACAAATAAAAAAGAGAGGCTAATTATACCCTTCATAACAAATGAAGCAAACTACATAAAAGATACTATAATATTTCTCCATATAAATGATCAAATTATTAGTCATTGATCACTTATTTAATTAAGTAACTTAGTTGCCATAATCTCCGTAGTTTTTTTTTAAATTGGAATTTTTACAACTTAAAAAAAATGAGTTCCACATGTCAAAAACTTATATAGATATATCTCTAAAGTTTCTAAAATGTGTCAAAAAATTCATAATTATTTAGGTATAGGGACTATACTAATTAATCAAACAAAAAATGATAGAGTGAGCATACTGGAATATATTTCAAATTATTTGAAATATACATAAGTAATATTTAAAAAAAAAATTGAGGGTGGACATGTGTCCCCCTAGTCCTTTAGTAGCTCCGCCTTGGTGGTTGGTTTTGGGTGACGATAGTGGTAGTAAAAGTCATGGGTAACGACGGTAATAGTGATTGGTAATGGTGGTGGTGGTGGACGACGACGAGTTCTTTTAGGCAATAGTGTGATGAGTGGTGGCAAATGACGATGGTGGTGATGGTGGTAGGTGTGGTGGGTATGAATGACAGTGGGTGGCAGTAGTGGTGGGGTGGTGGCTGCAGTGGTGGTAAAGGGTGATGGTGGGGCGGTATGGGTGGTGGTGGGGCAGTGGTAGAGCTGATGGTGGTGGTGGGTTGGCGGCAACAATTGTTGTGGCAAAGGTGGTGGTGAGATGACTACAGTGACGGTGGTGGTGGTAGTGGGGGTGGGGGCAGTGGGGATGGTAGTGATGATGGGACGGTTTCAAACACTATATATTTTTTTTAAAGTACTTACAAAAAATTATAAAGTACTTTTAAAAAGTCACTCAAACATACCTTTAGGGACCTATTTCATATTAATTGAAGGTGTTAATATTAGTTGTTGGATTAATTTTAAAGTAAAATTTAAAGAAATTTAAATCGCGAAAGTCAAAAATTATTTTGTTTATCTTTTGAGATTTGAATTGTATTGTATTTTATTATATAGATATATCATTTGATACATACGTACAATGACAAAATATGTATTTATACTTTTTTTTTTAAAAATGTCAAAAAAATTGAAAAAATTAAAAATTAAAGAAAATAATTTTTCCATCTTACCAAGCACCAAAAAAAAAAAAATTAATCATTTTTATTTTTTATCCATTTTACCAAACATAAAATAAAGAAAGTATATCATTCTTACTTTCTTTCTTTTAAGGATAGAAAATATATCCCTCCTACGTTTTACCCCTACTACTTTCCATCTTTTCTACCAAGCGAAACATTAGGAAATATCAAAACCTCTTATCATGAGCTTAGGATAACCTTATCATAATATCAAAAATAAATTTATATAATAAAAAAAAATTATTTTACTGATGTCACATCTTTATTGATAGAAATAAAAGCGCAATATATAAAAAAATCTATCTAGCATTATAGATAAGAAGTTGAATCCTCAACTTATAAAAACACGTCAATGGTCAAAATTGATTCAATCTTCATCTATTTTGATCCAGTGGTATAAAATTTATCCAAATTTTGTTTTGTCCAAAAGCATCAATTTCTCTGCATGACCGCAATGCTAAATAACTCAATCAACATAATCTTTAATGTTAAACAATCCCATCAATTCATATATACATCTCTCTTTATTTTAATTTTAAATTACATAAACAAAAAAAATTAAAGTATTATTTAAAATATAAATATTACAAGATCAGTTCGATTTTTTATATTGTATAATATTTTCAAACTCGGAGTAATTACTAGTTTTTCAAAGGTTTTTTTGTCAAATATTTTTAGAGGCTATGTGAATAACGAGATTTGAATCTACGATTTTAAAGCCCAGCATCAGAGCGGTGACCACTAGGCTGCCAAACTCTCGAGTGGTGGTGGGTATTATCACTTTTGCGTCTGTCATGTGCCCAACGCCGCAATTGCCAAAAAATACAAAAAAAATATTCATTACAACAGTGATTTCACATAGTAATATTGTCATGATATCATTAATCACTAATATTAAAACAAATAAATAAATAAATCTCACAAAAATTAAAAATTAACTCTTCACTTGGTATTTTATTATTGATTAGTGATATCACGTTAATATTATTAATATAATATCACCGTTTCATTAAATATTTTTTCAAAAAATACAATGGAAACAATGAGGGGAGAAGTGAAGAAGAACATGTGAATAATAAATTAAATTTGAGGACAAAGCCAGAGTAGGATTTTTCCAATCTTGTGGCTATCATGTATGGCTATTATACGCGGTTTAAACGACGACGGATTCAACTCAATCATTTGAATTGGCGTTTTGACGAAAATAATGGGCGGAGTATGAAAATTGCTTTATCTTTCAAAAGTGACCTTTGCGTTTTAAGTTATGGGATTGACAATCTCCGCGATTACAATCGGATCGTGCCGGGTTATATTTGTGTCGAGTATTAGTTAATTCTATTTTAATTTGTTTAATTAATTGTGTCAACCAATTTATTTTTATGTCGTATTCGTGTTGACCCCTATAACCCGTAAATAAAAAATTTAAAACTTAGGTTTATACTTAAAATTTTATTATCACTTAATTGAACATATGCTCATACGTTTTTTATAAATTAAAAATTAACTTAATAAATAATAAAAATGAGTAAAACTATCTTTTTTTTGTATAAGAATTGAGTCGGTATTTAATAAAATATAATAAAAAATGAATATTTTATTCTTATAAACGCGTTAATCGTGTAAATTTTGTATTGTTCTTATTAGGTACTAACTCAACCTATTTATTATTCATGTTAACGAGTCGTATCATATACGAGTTTATGTTGAGAAATAGTCGATTCTAATCCGCTAATTTCATATCATGTTTTCGTGTTGTGTTAAAAATTGTAACCTTTTCTTTGTACCCTAAAAAAAAATTCGATACAATACCAATTACTAATTTGATATTCTAGATTGGATTCTTATTTGTGACTATCGAATTACATCCATACTTAAAATAAAAATAAAAAAGACAACTAAAAATGATAATGAATTTTATTGCTTAGTATCCACCGACCACTAAGACTGCTAACTTTGTACACATTACCGCCGACAATATGAACTAAAAAATGGGTCGGAGGTCCAAAATTAATGTTACTACCCACGTGTGGACCCAAATCAATCACTGCGGTCCTCTTCATGTAATTTGTTTTTGTTGTACTAGAAGAAAATGTTCTCTGACTCATAAATGTTCCTGTTCTTATCACCCTCATGTGATAAACGTTTTATAGTTTTGATTTATTTTTGGAGAATGATTTCGGTACCGAAAATAGTACTCTAATCCCGGGGCGGAGGAGCCACGTAGAAGGGTGTGGTGTCGTCACTGAGCTTTGAGAAATTTGTAGATATAGTATACTGCAATATAAATTTTTTTTTAAAATTAGATACATTGCCCTTCTTTAATTTTAAAAAAAGTCATGATGGGTCTATTTTTTTGTTTTTTAATAAGTTTTAAATGATCTAATGTATTAATTCAAAAATATTTATGTTCTTTTACATAATTAATTTCTTAACAATATGAAGTTTGGTCTTAAAACAGGCCTCACAATAAAAGGGAAGCTACATTTGTCATATTTCTTATGCATGAACTTTAGAAAGTTATTTACGATGGTGAATAATTTTATTCAATAATCTTAGAGGATCGAAACGAATCAATGATGAAACCAAAATTCTAATAGTTCGAAGTGTTTCAGAATGTTTTGAGATGTTTTTAACATGCTTTCACATTCTGTCAAAAAATTTTAAAATAGTTCAAGATGTTTTGGTATATTTTAACGAATATTTTAAAATATTTTGAAAATAAATTCTCCACTTTCTTCTTCGTTTTCATTATGTTTTCGAAATATTTTCAAAACATTTTTATTTCCTAAGTAATTGAACTGTTATAAGACAAACTAATGTGATGTCTTATTCATAAACGGGCCTTTTCATATCATCGTAGTGTGTTAAACGTTGTAGTTTTAAGTCTACAGTGGCTTTGGCCGGTTGGAACTGAAGAGATTTGTGTCCCAGTCCCAGGAACCAACATTACCCTACTACTCAAAAGATTATTAGTGGGTATCCAATTAAAAATTATAATTTAATTGGATGACGTAACGACTCAACAACATAAGTCTTTTGGAATCGATCCTATTCTATCTCAAATGATACAATACATTTTTCATTATTATATCAGTCATTAATGTTTAATAATGGAGATAGTGTCATGCCATTTGAGATTAGGGATGATAATTTTGTAATATGACACGAAAACACAATATGAAATTAGTAGATTAGAGTTAACCATTTGTCGATATGAACTCGTAAAAAATTTGATCCTCCTTTAGAATGACCCTTTCTACCGCAAGTCTAGATATGATATTTACCCTTCTTCTCACGTTCACTATTCGATGGAAGAACTTTGTGTTCTTATTTCCCTCCCTTAACCACGTCATTCTTGACTTTTGCCGCCATCTAATCTTTTCAATTTTTAATTTTATGTTCGGTTCAAGTTGAATTGTAGGCAATTCCTAATATAACCCTATTGCCAATCTAGTGTAAGCCTTGTAACCCATACTTCCGAGAAATTTTTGTATGGGTTTAACACACATAGCCAATCAGAAGTTCTACATCTCCCAAAAAAGTAGTCATTCATCACTTTATTAGAAGTTTTTTTGAAAAAAAAAATAACTTATGTGCTTGACATGACAAGTTTTCCTACTTCCGTTTCTATCTCTGCGTTATAAATTCGTGTTCTTCTACATAAACGCCTTACCATAAGTATTTTCTTTCACGATATTCTCTCTCTTGCATCCTTAAGTATTCCAGAATATAACGAGCTGTATAACTTGAAATTGTTAAGCTCATTACCCTCTCACTCAATGAGATTGAGTTGTCCTTGCCATATATCCTTTTAATGTATAGTTGCAACACAAACTTTGGATGCATATAGAATTGAATATATGTAGTTGGCTCACTGACCACCGCACCGTTACTGTTCTTGGTTTCAGTTCTTGTTGCCCTCTTTCTGTGAAAAAAGAGGATTTGAATTCACGATGTACGAGTTGAATAATATGTATGTATATGTTTATATTAGGTAGATTTCATTGTATGCTTTGTGGGTTTTGTTGTCATTCAATATTCAAAATCATGTACACTTCGTGGGTATTATTGTTCGTTCATTCAAAATCACCATGCTGATTGTTAGATTAAAACCACTTAATTCTATAAAAAAATGAGCTTTCCTTTAGAAGGGCTTCTATAACAATTACAATGCCGACGATCCCTTCGCAAAGGGTCGCTAATGTATCTGTACAATTTGCGAGACTTTAGACTGACTCTTCCTGTTCTCTCCTCCTAACTTTCATCTAAACAGAAGCTGTTTTTTATGTTGGGTTCTACTGAGAACCCTCTTGGCAGTGGCCCTGAAAGGACACGTGGAGCTCACGAAACCGTCCACCAAATGCAGATACGTCTTCAAATCATGACACGTGGCAACATTCCCATTGCAGAGGTAGGGTGACTCTTTGCTGCTTAGTCTAAGTTCTTTACCCACGTCAGCATATACCCCTAGTGTGTCCTCCATGCGCTTTTGAAGCCAGCTTGGCAGTCCCGCCACTTGAACCGCCCGTGTGTCCGCCATGTCATCATTTTGGGTCACAAAACCTGGCACCTTAGTGATGAGATCATCTGAGTTTACGATGCGTAGTATTCTGGTCCCACTTTTCTCGAGCTGACATCGAAAGCTTTTGTTTCCTACACGTGGTCCTCCAAATGAAACGACGGTCACCAAAGGTGCGTGATTGAAAGTTGTAGTAATATCATATGCCGTAAGTGTAGCTAGCGCAGCGCCAAGGCTATGACCCGTGATTGTCACACTAAGTGGCTCATCACCGTAAGATTGAAGGATTCTCGAGATCTCTTCTCTTATCAAGTATTGTAAACTCGGACACGTGGTAGTGCTTGACGTGTACATGCTCAAAAACCCGCTTTCCACCATTGGTCCACCAATTTTGCCATCCACATCACTAGGTAAGTTGGTTAATCTGGCGCGTAGATTTTCAAACCACTCGAGACACGTGGCAGTGCCCCTATAGGCGATCACCACATCGCGACGTCCTAGCCTAGCAATCTCATCCTTGTCGTTACAAACTGCCACGTAACCGATCCAACTCGACTGAGTGGAAAGCCAACTTGGCGCTCTATCAATCCAACGTGGCAGCTGGATCCCACACGTTGCACGTAGATTTTTGGTTAATTTATACCCACTTTTGCCAAGTCCGCATTGAGTTAGCATTGAGTTTTTAGAATACCGACACGTGGCATAGTTTGGGGATGACGTGTCAAATTCAAAGGAACGATAAGCTGCTTCGACAAAATCTCCATACCGTAGTATCTCATCTCGTAGATCATCATCAAGTGGGTCAAGTAGGCCTTCCCAGTTCTTGATCCCTTGATACTCCCTCCACTTGTCGCTGAGCTTTTTCGTCGGGGTGGCAGCACGACACTGGCCTGAATCACCTCGGACTGGGCTCCACGAGTTTGTAACACTCAGATTTGTTTTGAGCCTCATTGAATAAGAGGTGGCGCAGTGTTTTGGCACCACCACATGGATTGAACCATGTACCACATCACATGGCTTAAAAACTCCAATGCCAAGCCTCATATTTGTAGGTATCTATCTATCTATATTTGGAAAAAACTATGTATCTTATGTGGACATGCAGTAGCTGAGTAAGCTCTTGTATGCTCATTGTTTTGGCAGGAATACAAGCCTCAATTTATAGCTTCATGGAGAGAGAGAGAGAGAAGAGAGGACGGTGGAGCGGGAAAGGGAGTATACTAATGTTGATGGGGACAAAAGTGTTAATAACTGAAAAACGTTGGTGGGCTGAAGTCAATCTAAAGGAGAGGTTGCGGGGTACTAAATGGTCAGCACCCAAAATGCTTTACATAGGGGTTTGAATTGAAGATTTTTTGACTTGGACCCACGAACCGAAAAATAATCGTCGAAATGACCCCATTTCATCTTTCCGACCAGAAAGTACACACATGGTGGCATGTGCGCTTCACCAAACGCATCCCCTCGCGGTCACAGGATTGAACACTCGAACTCATGGCTTCACCTGGACTAGGGCCATGCATATTCAGTGCCTCTAATTCTTTCATACAAACCACCACCGAGTCGGCCGTGTTTTTTTTGGATGGTGTTAAGTTTTCTTATTTTTAAGTTTCTATCGTGTCGGAATCATATTAATATGAAAGTAATTGAGACTCCAACCCCTTCATTCCCACTATTCTTTTCATTTGGAAATTTTTTCATCGGTTTGGACAAAGATAGTTCATACACGTCCGAATTAAATTATTCATAAGGAATAAATCTCTTACAATCTGATTCTAAAAGATTGTCAAGATATTTCACAAGGGATATGTGTGTTTTGACTCTACAGCATGGGAGTAATGAAATGGTCTCTTGTATGAAAACACACTGGAGCTATGTTAGTATGAGGTTTCAGACACAGCTGACCAAACCCCTTTTAAACTTCAGCAAGTTCATGTGATCACAGAAATTATTTTGTGAATGTATATTTTTCAAAGCTCTAATAAACAATCTAGAGGTCATTTGTGACACTAAGAGCAATTCTAAAGGGAGTTGTCATTTTGAGGTGGTAGATTACTCATTTGTAATATTGAACAGTATTTTAGTACCTCTGAATTATAAATCTGTTCCAATAGCAGGTATCAAAATGGAATGTCATTTTTATATTTTTATTCGTCAATCTATATGAATCGTTGAATTTATATGCATCCAACAGATCTATATTCATCAACCCATTTGTAACCTATCCCTTTCTCTCTCCAGAGTTGCCAAAAATGTCACCTCAAGAGTCTTGATGCTATTTTTCAATCCCATATGCTACACCCCTCGGAGCCCAACATTTTGGCATATGGGGTTGCCACCCCCCTTTGAGTTGCTGTAAGAATTGGATTGAACATGTTTTTCAGAATCGACAATTACCCGTAAAATATAGTCTCAACACTTAACCAAATGCAATATAATGATTCTATTGGGGACGGAGATCGAGATTATTAGTCAATATGATGTTTTTATATCGGCCTGTTGCTTTTCCTGAAGCTGGAAAGTAGATGGCGCATGCCTAAGACTCTTGATAGAGCTGGGTAAGAAAGTTCCCAGGTACATCACCATAATTAGCACTTTTTTTTTTTTTAATAGTTCAACTGTCGAGATGTTTGAGTCAACTTACATATATCTTAACTAATTTTCTCATCATTCCAGTCAAAAGTCAGTCATCCACGTTGGGACTAGGGTATTTATGAGGAATAAATCCCTCATAACCTTACCTCAAAAAATTATGAAGATTTGAACTTAGAACTTCTAAGTGTATAACTTATTTCTGTTACCACTTAAACTACCCTTAAAATTTTTATAATTAGCACGTTTAACATCTCTCTTTCTTTTCACTTTTTACTTATAAGCTTGATTTTATTGGATTGGACCCTAACCACCTACATGGAGATTCATCTTGATCTTTTTCCATAAAATATAAAAGCATTAAAATTTTATTTCCAAAAGAAGAAAAGGGAAAAGAGAGCTAGGGGTATCCATCTTTTAGGGGTGACTGCAAAATTGTAGGCTTATGAAGGTTCTCCGAGGGTTGGAATATGCAATATTATTCATAAGTTGGTCATTCTCTAATATAATTTATGACCACAGTTATCCAGATCAATGGCTTTTAATTGCTTAACGGGTCTGTTCTTCTTCTATCAAAACAGTACATATTACGTGCAAGTTTGAGACTAAAATTGCTAAGTGGATTTCTTATCATATTTAAGTGGTGGTTTATATAAGTAAAATTCATGTAGTTTCCAATTGTTTACTTACAAAATCTATGAAAGCAAGGTGTATATATATATATATATATATAGAGAGAGAGAGAGAGAGAGAGAGAGATATGACAAGGCTCAATGGTTCCCTAATCCCAAGGTGGATACCTTAGAATTCTTCGAATGCATGTATTATCCCTTCTTTCGTTTGTAAAGTAGCTCTTATATTCCCAATACACTTTGCACCCACCAACAAAGCCTCTTTACAAGTTTTGATATGATAACTACAGATTTTAGAAGAATGATTGGAATTATGGCTTGGCTTTGCTTTGCTTTGGCTCCTGGGAATCCAATGAAGAATATTGCTCACTACTTTCACCTGTCAAGAAAACTTTTATTTGGCACATAGTTTCTTCCCTTACCTAACAAGGCAGCTATTGACCACCCTTTCAAGTGCAAAGCAGCCCTGAACCTAAGCTTGCCGTGCTGGTAAAGAAATACATATTTATCTTGACAAATGGAATTTAAAATCATAAATATATTTATCTTGACAAAGTTTTAAACCTACACGATAAGTTTAGGCACCAAGTATTATTAAATTATTGCCACGTATAGAAATTCACATTGAAGATGTCAAATTACAAGTTTTAAATAAGGTTGTATTTAGATGAGTTAAGATTGACTCTCGAATGAGATCATGCGCGACCTGCCATGATATCGTGACCACCATACGAGGTCCCACCTTGGTTTGGGACGTGGAGACAATCTACATTTGGTTAAGGGCTATACCCTAAGGAGAGGATGAGGCGACATTGGGACATATATTAATCTCGAGGTGATACATATATTGTCTTGCATTACATGTATCTTGGTGACACATATTTATATATATATATATATATATATATATATATATATATATATTTTGGGGAAGGGGGAGGAGAAACTTGAATCTTTGATTTAAAGAAGACAAAATCTTTATAAGATAAATAGTACCATTAAACTAAAGGTCTGTTGGTTAGGTAACGCATATGTGGACCCTCTTGTAAATAAACACCCCCCTATTTTTTCTTTTTTGTTTTTGGTTCAATGGTTAGGGACGTTCAGATCAGCTTACATGCAACTCGACTAATTTTATTTTCGATTCGATTATAGGCAAACCATCCACGCCAAAATTAAGATAGTCATGAGAGATAGATTCTCCTCCTTCTTCATCCTAACAAGAGAAAGGATTTCTTCTTCCCTTTGAACAATCTCATCCTTCTAACCTATCCCAAATACGGAGAGGCAACTAATCTCTCCGTTCTCTCTCTTCTTTTCTTTGTGTGCTCCTTGATCCCTCTTACGTATCTTCATAGGTTCCTCATATAGTGACGTGTATGAACTAGGAAAATCATTAAAAAGTTGGCCAATTTCCCTAATGAATCTGCGTTGCATTCAAGAGGAGCCCACAGTCGTTAGTCATATCAATTGCATGCAAACCAAAATAATGGCCAGGTGAGGAGCTTTGGGAAAAATAAATACTAAAATATCCCGAGTGTTAAAAAAGGAAGGGGGGGGGCAAATGTATTTTTTATATTTCCTTTTTTATCCCTTTTTTGGGTAAGGATACACAAATTATTGTACATCAAATTAGGTCTTTATAGTATTGCTCTTTGTTGCACCAAAAAATCAAACAAAAACATCGGCAAAAGACTAGAAAAAAAAATGAAAATATTTTGAAATGTGAGACATCATCACTGACACTTTGTATCATCATTCAATAACAGAAACATGGTTTTAAAAAAATAATTGATATTCAACTCTATCTCTTTATTGAAGAGACCGGATCCCGTAAAATTACCCACAAATATTATTTGGACGAGTTAACCCTTAACATTGCTATCACGTATGAACTCTAACTAATTTTTTCTGATGAAAAGAAAAATAATACATAGACCTCAAGTTGGAAGAAGCAATAAACCAAGCAATTACGTCAGTGCTTAGCAAACCTCACCATGGTGTAATAGACTTGACCTCGTAGAGCATATATCTTATCAAAGAAAGTCAGAGAAGCAATTGCATAGAATTTTTCCAACAACGTTAGGCAATCTGAAATGACAATGAAATGCCATAGAAACGTGAGACATGTAGCCAGTATTCCATGTCTTTAGGAGGAATGTACATATTTCTGATATGTGCCCACATTCAGCGGCGGAGTCAAGGAATGAGGGGGGGGGGGGGGGGGGGGGGGGGAGGAATATAACTAAAAATAATTTATTAGTTGATATCGACAAAAAAACTAAGTGCAAGAATGACAAAATAAACTAGAATTCAAGATAATAACACAATCATGTATTATAATGAAATACAATATATTCTTTAAAATCTCTAAGATTTTTTATAATTAACTAATTGTAAGCTAGATTTTTCACTAAGTTTCTATCAATGCGTTTAATCACAGATTCTGTATTAAAATTATTGAGTTATAGTTGCAAGGGTTAATCTTATTTTACACCCCGAAAGATTGTTTGAATCTCAATTTATACCTTCAAAGATCAAAAATCTCAATTTACACCCTCAAAGATAGAAATTTGTATCAATGTGCACCCCAAAGATCAAAAATCTCAATTTGCACCCTTAAAGATAGAAATTTGTATCAATGTGCATCCCCAAAGATAAAAAATCTCAATTTGCACCTTCAAAGATAGAAATTTGTATCAATGTGCACCTAAAATTAAATTAATAAATTATACTTTGATCCCCTCATGTTTGTCACTTAATCATTTGAACTCCTTCACATTTAGAATATTCCCCTTACATCTCATGATGTTTTGTGTA